TAGTGTAACGTAGCAGTTGTCCTTCGGCTCGCACGGTTGCCTATGCTATGACACGCAAAAAACGTGAATTTGGATTTAGAACGTTCAAATTCGCAGGAGTACACCGCGCAACATTAAAACACTGACTATAGGAGCTAGAAAATGGTTGAAGTGGATCTCGCCCGCATGGGCGTAGGACAACTTTCTTTTACTTGGAACAGCGCATCCCAATTTTTAAGGATGCAATCCGCGCGTCAACTTTGACACGAAAAGAGGAGGTCCCGTGAATGTGTGACACAGTAACAGTACACACGCTGTAGCGAATCCAAAACACCCGTCACATATACGACACAAAGGAAAGGTAACCCGGGTAAAGCCCACGGAGGAGGGTATTGGAGTATTAAGGGGTTACAGTGTCACACATTCACGGGACTTCAAAATACCTTTAATAAAGAGGAGAGCTCGCGTTAGCGGGCGATTTGACTCGTAGTAGGGTGAGGAAGGAACCAACGAGTACTGTGTCCACTTTAACGGTGGAACAGTAGTGAGTCGTCTGTAAAACATTTCGACCTAGTTCTGGGAACGTCGTCGATTCACTGGAAAAGATCAATCGCCAATTGGATGTGGTGTGAGGACCATAACGTCTAAACTTCAGACCCTTGAATTAATTGTGGGCTCCAAATAGAAGGCTTGCACGGTCCAATTTGTAGCTAGCAAACAAGACAATTATGCCGTGGTGTAAGTCCTCGTTGCAGTCAAGGGCTTTCTATACGATCTCTTCATAAGGACTTCTTCTCTGAAGAAAAACTCTACTCCGAAATATGACAAAAGGACAAAAAGAGGGGAGGACTATGAAGAAAGGTAACCAAACCAATCAATCAAATTGAGGAAATTTTGTATTTTTTAGGATTCAGTTGATTTTTATGGACTTCTCAGGGCTTAATGTGAGCGACACATACGAAAAATTTCTTTTAATGCTCCAGCACAGTATTGCTCGTTTCCATCCAATCCGGAAGGTTAAGCTACGTAAGGCGCAAATCCCTTCAATTTGAAATTCTCTCTTTGAGAAGAAGGTAAAAGCGTACAGGAAAGCGGATCTATCAAAAAACTCTAATGAATGGGGTTTTCAAGGAGTTATAGCAACGCGCTTTCAAATCAAGATGAAAAAGTATTGTGTTCAGTTGGAAAAAATAATGGGAAGCAAGGATAAATCTGCCTACTTCCCATGAATAGAAGACTCTCACTGGTTCAAAAAGCAAGAAATCTTCAACATTTGAGTTGATTGGGAAACCAGATAATTTTTGCACCCAGCGGGCGTGAACGCTGGACTTCACAACAAAAAAAGAATAAAAAAAAGCAAAAACGAATCAAATTCTCGTAAGGCTTCAGATGTGTTGTTTCGCGCCGTAGTACATTTGGCGCCAAATTCGAAAGCGTTCTTGTTTACGCCTATTTGTGAATTTTTGATGGTCGGCTTCATTTTTTATGCGCCTGGTGGAGTTTTCAAGCTCCTTTTTTCGCCTTGTGGATTAGTTCTGTAGTTCTTGTTCTTTCGTTGGATTGGAATTCGATGTTTATTCAGCGTTATGTATTCAGACATGCCCTCTATGGAATTGCCTGCTGCTGTTCAGGAGAAGCTCATCGAATTGGCCGATGAAAACAGCCAGTTGAAAGTAGTTAGTTTTATTCACATCTACATTACTAGACTGACTGTACACTCTTAGTAAGGGAATATGGTCAGTTAACGGGCTATTAGAATGTGATGGTAGTTGTGATTTGTTCGTTTTTTTTCCTCTTATCACAGTAAATCAATGCTCCTTTCAATTCAAGGAGGTGCAGCGGCTGAGCGCAAAGCTGTCTAGCAGGGATGAAATACTAAATGAACTAGAAGAAGAAAACCTCCAACTCCGCAATAAGCTAAAGCACGGTCAAGCAGGAGATCCTAAATTGGAAGCGCTGCAGCGGAAAATCGTTTCTCTGGAGGCCACGGTTCGATTTTGATTTTCCTCTCCACTATTTTTTGCAATCATGACTTTCAGATTGAGGAGAAGACTTTGAGTTCGTGCAGGATGGCAGAACAAATAAAAGCGCTTACTGCTTCGTTGAATTCAGCTAACAGCGAAATCAGCGAGTTGCGAAAGGTTGATTCAGGAGGGATACCCGAAGAAACCATTTTACTCGAGCCTTCTAACAATGTTGATTTGGTAAGATCCTTTAAAATAATTCGAGATAACGGAATGTACGTGGATGAGCCACAGGCTGAGAGTTTTGAAAATCAAGCTTTAAAACCAGAGACTTGTAGGTTTATGAAACAGTGCTCACAGCTATACGGAGCCAATTGCAAACTATTTTTTGAATTACATTGAATCAAAGAGGTGGTTGAACATTACTAAACATGAAAGTAGGAAGTTCTCTAAAAGAATTATCAATCTAGTTTTTGTCTGCTCAAAAATGTGCCGGCCCGATATCCTTCATAATTGTAGTGGCGTTTCGAATGCGCATGTGGCCTATGCAATGACTTGTGGTAGCCAGAAGAAGTACNAGATGTTCTATCCATGAAGCCGGGATTCGATCTTTGGGCAATGTGTGTGATAGAAGCCCCTTGCCGCTACACCACCGTGTACTGCGCGGAAGATGCGTATTTCTAAGCTTCTTGCTGATTGTTTCTTGTATTCTCATGGTTATATCGCACCAGTTTGTGATAAAATGCGGGCTCAGAGTGATTAAGGAGCATTGCAATTATTCGATGAGCTCTCAATGTATCACTGGCAACTCATTTACCTTCGTAATCTTGGCTTTATTGCAGAAAGGGCTGAGTTTTTTAAGAACATAGGACATTTTTTATCACAATGAATAGACTTGTAGTCATGGAATTCCGGCTAGCTAAAACAGGTTTAGCGCCGATCAGGTTCTCATTATAGGTACCAACCAGTCAAGAATCGCTTGATAGCAGCAATATCGAATATTTGGTGTCTCTTTAAGGGAGTTTATACCACCATCAAAGAGAAAATCACAAGTTACGCCGTTTACGGAACTACGAAAAGTAGTAATAACGCATTCTTCGTTGAAAGCGGTCCCCGTGTTCTTTTTCGAAACCTTAAAGATCCACATGCACGAAAACAATTCACTATTATTAAGTTCCCTCTGTCACATATCCCTTTGATTCCACAAAATTCTAAATCGACGATGGCAACTAGAACGTGGTTTCTGAAATAATTCAGCATTAAGTGTTCTACCTCAGAGTTCTTTGTAGTTTTGAGAGCACAGTCTGCTCTTCGTTGTATGACACCCCCTTCTCCAGGAACGAGTTCAAGAAGAGAGAGACGATGCAGTATTCGAGTTGCAACGGGCTACACATCGTATTGCTGCGCTGGAAGCAGAAAAGAACGACTATGCGGACCGTGCAGAAGCGGCGTCAACGGAAGCCCGTGACATGGCCCGACATAATAAGGTATTTTATCATTGCTCCTCCCGCGATTGCTAATGTGATTGGCGAACTGATCATTGTACGGATAGCTCATTTTTGTAGCCCATTTTAGCGTTATTGAATTTTTGAAGCGTAACAGGTAGAATGGCGAAGGCTCTATAACACCTTGTATGACCCATGCAGAACCGATACAAATGTGAACCACTCCGAATTCTCGCCTGATAGTATTTTTGTACTTTTAGGACCTCCGTGAACAACTGCACGAACTGGAAGCAGAAGTTGCAGCATCCCGAACTAACACTGGTATTGCAAGCCGAGGTAACTCTATGTTTGCAGAAGTGAGCTTTTACTATTTGTATCTCTTTTTTATTACAACTGTATCGAATGTTTTAAGTTTGCGGAGGAACGCCTCAAGCTTGAGGACGATCTAAAAGAGCTTTATCACAAGTACAATGCCCTCCGTAAGGAGAATTCTCAGCTAGCCAATGAGCTTGACGAGGCGCGCCTATTGGCTTTACGGCGAGGAAGAAGAGAGGTGAGCTAATAACACATTCGAGATTCAGTGTTTGTTCTAATTGTGAAAAAAATTTAGTTCATTATATCATTCCATCTGCAAACTTTTGAGCGTTCAGGTTCAACTTTGCTGTAGACTGCACGAGTGCCTGTTTCAGCATAATATTTTTAGTGGTTGAGAACTGCAAATGCACGTGATGTAATAGATGCCGCATGCTAACTTAAGATTCGAAAGATTGCTGTGAGGTCTCTAGTTCTTCGAGTAGGTACCGAACAATTGAAGTAACCAGTCGGTTCGCCCAGCTAACGCCGGGCTTCTCTCCTTATGATAGATTGTTGCAATCGGGAAACCGCCCGCTCCCCTCTAGAGAACCGAATACTTTTCGGAACGTAAAAGTTGACAGAGGACTGGAAGTTTGTGTGGATTTTTGCATATGAGTAGGAGTGTCGATCTCAGTGTTCCCATATTGCCTCCTATATCACTACTGTGCGCAAGCCCCGCCCCCTTATTCACGGATCCCGTCCTGCCACCCAATGTGATTGTTCCCATCCTGCCTCTTTGCTACTACGAAATTTGAACTCTCTAGCTACACGGGTACCGGAGTTATGTATTTCCGCTCAAAAACTTATTTCGCACAAACCCTGCCCCTTGTGGGCAGAGCTCGGTCCTGCCACGCACCATAAGTGTCCCCATCCTGCCACTTGTTCTCCTACTAAATTCGAACTCTTTATATCTACGGGAATCGAAACTACGAATTTCCGGTCAAAAACACACACACTTACAGACCAACCAATAGACACACTTATCGCGTTTTATATATCCTTACTATACATAAACCACAATTGTGTGTCTGTTTGATTGTCTGTTTGTCTACCACGAAATTTGGTGCCACCTGAACAAGCACCTGGAGAGTTCGGGTCAAGTCAGGATGGGTGGAGCCTAGGGCAAGATCAACGGATCAACGCGCACATATGAACTCAGCGAAGTCCCACCCACTGGGGGGGGGATGGGGAGACATGCACCGGAATGGGTGGTGCTCGAGGCAAAACTAATTACTATGGCTCCAGCAAAGCTCAGACACTAGGGAAAAGTTGGCAAAGATTGGGATTGGATCAACAAATTTTATGAAGGAGAACCACCCGCTGTGGACGGAGCGTCCTCAAGGTAGGCGGTACTTTTCACGTAAATTCATAACTCGATTAAGCGAAGGCGCCAAGGCCAGAGAAGAATAGGGAAGGGGTGACCAGAGCCTAACGCATGCTGGGCATGCATAATTTTACTTTTGAGCTCCGCCCACTATGGGTGGTACGTGCATGCAAATGAATAGTACTTTTGAAAAACATGCACAACTTGGTTCAAAATCTTTCCAGAAAGTGGATAACAAGTGGTGAGGGGTATTAGGAAAATAAGGTCAAATTCTGAAAGTCTGCGGGGTTTGCACTGTAGTGAGCGGGCCCAAGATCAAAAATTCATAGCTGTGTTCAAAAAGGCTCCAGAGTGCGGTAAAAAATAGTTAGAGGTTGTAGGAGAAATTTTGCAAATTTTTGAGGTGGGCTGGGCTAAGATCGAAAATCATAGCTCTGTTCGAAATTGCTCTATAACACAGGAAAAAAGTGTAGAGGTTGTAGATCTGTCAAATCTTCGAAGTGGGGTTTGCACTATTGTAGCGGGGCTATGATCGAAAATTCATAACTGTGTTCATAAAGATTTAGGAGCGCGGGAAAAGTAGTTAGAGGTTATAGAAGAATTTTTTAGTGGACGGGGTTCGCACTAGGGTGGGCGGAGCTAAAATCAAAAATTCATCTCTGCTCAGAATAGCTCCTGGGTTGAGCAGGAATAACATCAAAGCTCCATATGAAAAGGCTCTAGAACGAAGGAAAAGCTTTTTCTATAGATTGTAGTAGGAATTTTGTCGAATTCTTGAAGTGGAAGGAGGTTGTCCTAGGATGGGCGGGGTCAGGATCAGGGCATAGCCAGGATCAAAAATTCATAACAATGTTCAAAAAACTCTAGAAGAAACAATGGTCAGAGGCCCTGACAAAATGTAAATCCCCAAAACGGGAGGGATTTTTACGGAGGTGGCTGCCGCTGAGACCAAAAAATCATAACTCTTCAAGATGTTCTAGAACGTGGGAAAAGGTGGATAGAGGTCATAGAAAAGATGAGGTCAACATCTTAAAGGGTGGAGGGGGGAGGGGTTTGCAACTAAGTGGACAAGACCAAGATCGAAAATTAACGACTCTGTTCAAAATTGTTTTGGAGCGCGGGGAAAGTGGTCAGTTGTACTGGAGGAGTAAGGTCTAATCTTTAAAGGCACAGTTCGCGATAATTTCGGGTAATCCAGATCATGACGAAAAATGGAAGATAAGATGGAAAATAGTGCGATGAAGGCGAAGAAACTGCGTGCATCGGTGTTTCCAAAGTGAAAAAAGGGCTTCGAAAAATCGTTTAAAAGGGAGCTCGACGAGAATGAGACCAGAAGAATGAAGAAGAGTGGGGCGCTTGGACGAGCTATAGAATGTGGTTCATTGCGTACGTGTGGGTCCCGGTGCAAATAACTGACCACGGTAGGCAAAAATTCATTCATTTGTAAGCATAAGTAAACAAAAAACCCTAGTAACAGCGAAAATAGTTCATCTTTTTCAGTCTCTTGAGGTAAAGGATGAAGGATAAAGTTTCTGGCGTTAATCAATCCCGTCTGAGGTATGCGCCCCCGCCCTCGGTTTCCATTCAGAATCGTAGTGGCGTAAAGAGTACGTATGTGGCCTATACAATGACTTGCGGTGGCCAGCCGATGTACAATTCAGTGCTTTCATCCTCCCAGACGAGTCTGGTACCAATTCACCGACCCCGGAGGGATGGCAGGCTTGGTTGGCCTAGGCGGGCATCGATCCGGGATTCGAACCCCTGACCGTGCGTGTGATATAGTGCGCCACTTGCCACTACACTACCTCCGCCCCTTCTCTTGAAGTTGGAAATTAAATAAGGGATTGCGGCAGCAAAAAGAATAACAGAGGAAAAAAGAATCCGAGAAAAACATCGCCTCATCGCTCTTCGTTCAGCTGATTGTGTGTGCGTCCTAGAACAAAAAATTGCATGTGTATCGCCTCAACATTCGTCTGAGAGACATCGATCGAAGGGCGGGAAGACCGCGCAAGTCGTGAACAGGACCTCTACTATGCCCTTCTATTACCTTCGGGGGTCGCTGAGTATACCTGAGGGAAGAACTCAGTGACCATTTTTATAGTGAACCGTGCCTAAACTACAAATGTTCGTATGGCTGTTTGTCTCTTTGTCTAATGATCTATTTATCCATACCTTACGTGGTGCCTCTCTGGAATAGAAGTGAAACAGATTAGTCATGATGAAAAAACTGAGAATGCGTGGAGTTACCTAGGGACATTGATCTAAGCTAAGCTCCATCCATGGAGAACACGGAGTGCGATACGGGTAGTTTCATCGAAACTACAGTATTCCTGCCTGAAGTGTTCCACTTTGGTAGGAGTGCACGCGGCGGGATGGGGACATTCAGACTAGGTAGCAGGACCAGAGTCCCCGCCCCTCAAGGCGGGCTTGCACAAAAATGGCTATTTATAGTAGAGCGTTGAAATTTGTAACGAATGCAAGCATCGGGTGAGATCACTGATGGAAGGTGACGAGACTGGACACCGTTTACTGGAGATGAGGCGTGCGGAAAATTGCTCTCTAAAACTAGAACGTTCAAGTTTAGAAGGGATAGAAATAGACAGCAAGACTGGAATACGGGGAGAGCGTAGAAACCGGCGATCATGCTCAGAGACTTTCCAAATTATGCAATTAATTCGGAGCTTTACTTCTTCTTGACATGTGGGAGTCCCGTGTCATGAGAATCACGCTGTAAGGATGTTGGCAGATTCAGACTTGCTATACTTATCTGTTGTGAATTGACCCATGAGAGGCTACTTTGATCCCTCTGGTGGTGCAGTGTTCCACTTCGGAGGAAGGTGAAGTAATGTGGAGGAAATTTAGCTGTAAACGCAGCCATCGATAATAGCAACCAATTCGGACCAGCTTCGATTTTTTCATGATATGTGTCTGCTACTCACTGCTCATTTTTTCGAGAATAGAAGATAAGCAGTGATGATAGGCTTATGCCTATGGGTGTCGGTGGTGGTGTGCGTGTCGGTGTGTCTACTGGAAATATATGACTCCTGAACAAGGTTACTTCAACATACATGAGTTAAGCAAAAGTGTATGTGTGTGTTTGACCGGGAACCCGGTGTTCATATTCTCGTGAAGCGTCCGAATTTGGGAGAGACGTGGACGGGCCGGGCTTTCCTCCTTCCTCGACAAAGTTGTAGTAATCGCTTTATTCTCTACTCATTCTCTAAAACAAATAATACTCTCTTGACACGGAACTTGACACAGGATTAACAGAGCAGTACAAATGGTATTCAATGTCAGTCGGTGCCTAAGTTTGTAACTGGAAGTCTCGATCTTTGCACTCTTTCTGAAAAAATGATTACCCAATGAAGATGCAACTGGTAAGTGACTAAACCCTTGGGCGGTACTCAAAAATGTTTCGAGTGGTGACAACACCATTATCAGATGTCGTTATCAATGGACCTTTTTCTTTAAAGAGATATCATTAGTTGAGAAATCCAGGTTACTGGCGGTCGGCAAGGTTTTGTCACAAATGATATCGGCCAAAGAGGATCCATCATTGAGTCACAAACCTTGCTGGAAAGCGGTCATAATCTAATAGCAAGAAATGAACAAAATTTTCATCTTCTTGTAGTGCCACTATAGATCCCTTTCACTGCACTTACCACTCACTTTTGTCGCCCTACTCTACCATCCCGTTTTATCGAACGAAACATACTGAACAGTAAAAGCTGCATCGTAAATACAGTAGGCGTTGGGATTTTGATAGGTAGGTGGCCCTCGCTCTCTCAGACCCCTTATCTTCTCTTATCAGTTATTATCGGTTCGAGTTACCGAGTACCTTCGATCCCATCATATCGCTCACTTAATAAAATGCCGAGGTTCCACTGTTTATACGAAGAACTGTAATCCTACCAATACACGCACACACATACATACACATACACATGCACATACACACACACACACGTACACACATACACATACACATACACATACACACGCAAACACGCCGACAAACTAACAGAAACACCTAGTATTACATATATACACCAGTTGGGCTAGTCAAACTAACGAACATACAAACAAAAAGACATAGAAACTGACATACAAGGTTACCGCTTTATATATAGAGAGGTAGTAGGATATAGTTTGTAGTGATATTTGCCCCTTAAAATGATGGAATGATTTTCTAATAGTAAATAATAAAGTAAAATGGCTCCCTAAAAAGTCTTCATTTGGTGGCACGCTTCAAGTGGGACTTAGCTTGCCGGCAATCAAGCTTTGAAAATATTTCACAGAGTCACATCGATAGTTACCACCATTGCCTCATTTCCAAGGCAGAGGGAAGCTCAGCCAGGGATCCGATTGACGAGATTGATTGGGCAAGAACTCGATGTTTTTCCAATTTGACGCAATGCTTCCAGATCAGGTCATACCATCGGAAATTTCGCTTTTTAGCAAAAATTTATTTCAAGGAAACTCACCGATGCCGGTGTCAACAGTTGTCAGCGGAACTTGTTGAACTGAGAGGAAGAGTGCGAACACTTGATGACCGGCTGGCCATCGCAAGAAACGATCTCATAGATAAATCCATAAAATCTAGTGGTATAGATGCGCTTCTGAAGTCTTCGTATAAATCTGTGAAGTAAGCTTGTTGGCTTTATCCTTATAAAAACGGTATTCTTAGGTTGTTTTTATTCCTAGATTGGAAATGGAGTCCCTTCGACTGGAGCGCAATCAGCTGCGTGATGAGCGCGACGAACTTTTCGATAAGAACGCATCTCTTAATGTGAGTTTAGAACTTAGAGATTTTCACTTCATGTCAAGGCTTAATATCAAATAAGTTATTGCCATCATCTTTATCTGTTTGACATTTTCCCTTTTCGACTTCCAAACATCTCAAAGGCAGTGCTTCAGACTGCATGATTTAGACAGTGATAGCGTATCGAGGGATATGCTATGAAAAGAAAATGTGAGTGCTGCTCGAGTCGTGGCAACTTCGCGTGGTGGGGAACCTGTTTTTCTTGTGACAATTTGTCTTCTACTAAGAGTTGTTGGGTTGGTGGAACACTAAGTAATGAATAAGTCTAACTTCAAGTTCTATACTAAGCGAGCGTACCGAATGAATCCATTCACAGGGCTTAGGAATCCTTGACATGTGAACATGATTGCTGACATCCAACGAATTTGCGAATTCTGTTAAAGGCCCAGTTCACGATAATTTCAAGGTGTCCGTTTTTATTCGAAAATCGGAAGTACGGATTGGGAATAGTTCATCGGTAGTGAAGAAAGCGAGAGAATTCACCGATTTTGAGGAGGATATGGCTCTTCAAAAAGTAGGGGAAATAGTGGTCGGACGAGATTGTCATTACGGAAGTAACATGGAAGGGGTGTTCGGACGAAGTTCCAGTTATTGCAATTGCACAAAGAGCTGACTACATCAAGCTAAAACTGAACAGAACGGTCTTTCACTGTCGCTAGGTTCATGACAAGCTGTTTGAACTTCCTACACGGGTTCTCGTGCGATCGGTGCAGCCTCTACAATGCCGGTGAAACTCGTCCGAGGGTACACGCGAGCCGATTTTCAGGCCTCTATAATGCCCTGACTAGGCCATTTTCAGACCTGATAGTGCCAGTATGGTACACGCGGGGCCTCAGATTCATCCTGTGGGGGAATCTCAGATATCATTTTTATTGTGAACTGTGCCTTTGAGGGTCTTGACTCTCTTCAAACAGAATTTCTGCATTAGTGAGGTGAAACCTCTCAGAACCTATAGAATGCCTGTTTCTGTTGATTGCTGTTATGTTTCCAGCCATCATCCCAGTGGTCCATTATGTTTGCTTTATTATTGCAATCTATGATAACGAGTCACTGATTTTTATTCGGTGTGATCTAGGCTCGTGCCGCTAACGCCGAGACATTGTTGGAGTACGCAAACGATGAAATAGAAACACTAAAAATCCAGATGGCTATGTTAAGAGAGAGGAGCCAAAAAAATTCTTCAGGGAGAGGTAAAAATGATTATGCGTCTATTTCGTGGTCACTTTTTTCTTTCCGACTGATCCCATTCTTAATTTTATTCGCGAAAACTGTGTAGCTTTTCAAGATCCGCCCTGATACTCCAGAGGCCTACCATCTTACCTAAGAAAACTATTGTAGCATCGGCATGTTGCTTTTCATGTTGAAAACAATAGCATTGGGAATACTTGGGTTATTTGAGAAAGGTGCGATTCTAGACAACGAGATAGTGATCGGAGATGAATGAGATGTGATATGCTCTATTTTTTTGACTAAAAGCCCTAAAGTTCCTGTGTTTAGATGTCTATTAGGTCCTACAATAATTCTCGCCACGTTCTCTTTCAAATCAACTTCTCCGGCTGAGGACTTTGTCACTGGCAAATATCCGAGCGAGAACTGTTGTGATTCAATCGGGGTCGAGCAACGTTTGCACACCTCATTTGTGCTTTTAAGAGCAGGGATAACAATCCTGTTTATAAAGCGTTGTCTGTGTGTGTGTGGCAGTGCCAGACCCCGTCAACAAGAGGTGAGTGTGGGCAAAAGATGTGAAATTGGCCCTAGAACGGGAGCTGATACGTAGGTTGCCTTTTATATTTCGGGATTTGAGAACAGGAGCAAATACTATTTATTGAAAGTTGCTTAACTGTCTTCAAAATTCACCACATTAAGATCTATACACTTTTGCATGGGCTCGAACCGATTTTCGAAGCACTTTTGCCACTCTGATTAAGGTAACTCTAAAACATGCATTCCGAACGAATCAACGGCTTCTTCAGGTGTCCAAAAACGTTGACCTCTCATTTTATTTTTTACGTACGGGATGAGAAGAAGTTACCCGGGGACTACATGGCTGATGACCTGTCAAATCGTTGTTTTGAGCGCTCAAAAATGCAGTTGTTCGAACCAATGTGTGGGAGCTCGTATTGTCGTGGCGAAGAATGGTCCGTCTTCAGCAGTTGGTTTTCCTGATTTTTTGGAAGTCAACTGGCAAACAAATGGTGGCATAGCACTCAGGATTGACTGTTCTGCTTGTTCTAGTGGTACGATTGCGACATGTCCAGTTTTTCCAAAAAAAAAACAGGAGATCAATTGCTCGGAAGTGCTTGGTGCGCGGTCAGCTTTTGTTGGATTTGGCTCATCTTGAAATACACATACGGTCGACTGTTCTTTCCTTTCGGGCTCATACACATAAATCCACGATCACCTCACCATCAGCTGTCTCGATGTCACAGACGTGTTTCGAAGCACCGCGATCGTATTTTTTAAGCATTTCTCTCGACCAATCGACACGAGTCCCTTTTTAATATTGACAAATTTTTCAAAAACAATTTTTTTACAGTCAAATGTTCATGCAATATTGAATGTAAGCTAGTCCCACTAATGCCTAAGGACGCCTCAATCTCACGATAGGTCACATGACGATTTTGCAGTATTAGTTTGTGCACAGCATCAACCGTTTCCGGAACGACAACTGATTTTGGACGACCTCAAAGAAATTCGTCTTCGAGTGAACTACGACCTCGGGTAAACTCACTGCACCATCGATAAGCACTGGTCCTGGATGGAGCTTCATCACCAAAAATTGAACTAAGTTCATCCATGCATTGCTGTTGAGTTAGACCACGTCGAAAGTTGTAGAAAATAATCGCGCGAAAATGCTCACGGTTCAACTCCATAACTTGGCCTGAACAAAATTTTATAACTTAGTGTAAACAACCCAAATCGCGCTCAGATTTCGCAACGAACCTCAAAATAGTCAAACTTTACGATAGTGGTGTCAGTTGCTATATGGCTACACTAGTGTTTCCAAATCCCGAAATATAAAAGGCAACCCTCGTAGTAGGTGACACGATTGGATTTCGCGTGAGCGAACTAGGGAGCTGTCGGAGAATTCGTAACTTTCGTTAAAAACTGGATCTTCCAAATTTAGTTTGAGTACAGGCGGTAGGATGGAAACACTGATGATGTTAGGTGGTAGAAAGTGACTGGTATCCAGGCTGGGTACCGAAGACATGAGTTTTTTTGGTGCGGCAATAACAAAGGTGGTTCAGTATATTTATTGCGAATAATGAGAGATTAAAGCGTGGGCGGATAATGAAATAATACCAACACGAGCCTAACCCCGCCCTTTGTCTTCTCGAGAAGCCACACGACAGTAAGGATTGAAACATATGGTAATTGGGGTCTTCGTCGGCAACTGGTGACTGAGACTATAGAACAATAGTAGAACGGAACCATACGGTCGAAGTTCAAATTCACTCTTCAAACAGGAACAGGACATTCACTCGAACAATTGTAAGAAAAGGTTTTGAAAGTCTCTATTGAAACGAAAGAATACGATGTCAGAACCTCGACGGTGGCGGGATGGGAACCCGCAATTTTCGCCTATGAAGCGAGACCACTACCACTGTGCCACGTCGACGTTTGATTACGAAGCGACGGGTTCGCTTTCCCAATTGACTACTGTCGAGCGAATTTCGAGCCCCCATAACTTTTTCGGGAAAACAATTTTGGCAGTTTGCATTCCCGAATTCCTAAGCAGCATTCAGAACTCTATCGATCATTATTGGTCTCCATTCAAGGTTCTGTGGTAAGTAGACTTCCCCTCCCTGGTAAGGTGCGCGGGGCCGGGATCCCAAATTCGAAATCGATCAAATTGATCAGGAACGTTCAAGAACGCGGGAACAAGTGGTTGGACGTAATAGGAGTGTGGCCATATTCCTGAAGGGGGCGGAGATTGCGCCAAAAGGGGGGTGCTGAGAGCAAAACTCATGTCTTTCTCGAAAACGTTTGAGAACACAGGAAAAGGGTGGTTGGAGGTAACGGAAAGAGTGTAGCCAGATCCCTGGATTGGACGGAGTTCGCTAAAGTGGGATGCCAAGATCAAAATTCATAACTCTGTTCAAAAACGTCTTAGAACGAAATGAGTGGTTGGAGATGATGAAAGGATTGCGCCCAAATCCCTGAAGTGGGCGAAGTTTGCACTAAGGTGGGCGGGGTTAAGACTGAAAATTCATAACTCTGCGGTGAATGACACTTATATGTAAAAGCATGAACGTCAGTAGTCTGCTGTTGCTGAATCTGCAGAAGAAGTTACTAGTATTGATCCCTAGGCTATCGTTGTGAAGTGTTAAATGCAGTTACTGTTTTGTTTAAAGGTTCGTTCACATCTGTTATCTAATTTGATTCTTAGCGACCAGATTGAAGGTATTCAGTTTCCAATTCAGTCTGTGGAGAAGATAGAGATACTGGGGCAGAAATGTTCCCAATAAACCCTCCTGTCAGACTGACGCCATCTACCACTGGACAACAGGTGGACCTTTCGACTTCGTTAAGTCATTGTTGTTAATAAATTCACTGTTTTTCTTGGTTGCCTTTTCCATCATGTGATTATTTTTATAGGCACAAACACCAGCAGAACGACAAGCTCGTAGTACAGAGTCTTTCAACTCACGTATGCCTGCACCACCATCTAAGACACCTTTGAATGTCCCTTGTGGAACTCCTATTCATGAAGATCAGCAAAGGTCTTAATTTAGTGTGATTGACGACATCATCTTTTTCAAGTTCACAATTTATTTTGGAATTAATTTCCACTAACTTTGCTGCGGATTTTTTAACTTAGTTAATTCATCCGATTCCCTTTTCAGTTCCTTCTTCGACCAATCTTGTTCTTTTGCGGAACCCATGTCCGAAGTGCGACCTAAAAAGATCAGAGTATGTTTCCGTTTTCTCACCAATGCATTTGGGCTATTTCACGCTCACGTAATTCGTTGTTTTGATGTGGCCTCTTTCGCCTCACTTTCTCAAATTGTAGTTTGCATTCATTCGCTTCCATTCAGTAACATGAATCTTGCGGTATTCATATAATCTCTACGATTAAAACTAGTGGCATGGCCGTTGCAGTGGCATGGTTTTCATAGACCCCAGATAGTGCCTACCTCTTGTATTAATTCAGTTTTTAATTTTCAGTTCCTGCATATTTCGTCCAAGTACAACTCACTATTTCCGCTACTGTGAACTTATGTATGAAATTTCGCTCTTATGAGCAATCTATTCCTCCATCATTTTTTCTGATCAGAATAGTGAACACAATGACAGGAAAAGTGGACCCTCTATTTCTAACCAGCGCTAGTTGCCTGTAACATTTGATCTGTAGCATATTGCTCAAAAATTTCCACCCCATCCGTTTCTAATGGCGAAACCGCTCATGATCTTGGCTGTTTTCGTTATCACAAATCAGCACCTGTATTCCATTATTTTCATCAGTGATGGAAAGCACAATAGAGTTTTTACTCAAATATCTACATACTCAAGGTTCCTAACAAAGGAAGGATACTCGTTTGCAGTGTCAATCCATAATGAGATGTGTACCACCGTAGGTGTTTTCGTACGCTGATCTCGAATCTTACAAATCTGCGGAACGATTCTGGAAACAAAGTTACGAAATTGAATACCATTGTGTTGAACATATATCCGAACCCGGCAGCCATACGGTCCCTGCAACGGCTGCGCAAGACGCGCGTTTGTGGCATGGAAATGCGAATCCAAGCTTGTTTCGCTTCTTCATAAAACATGTTCTGCAACGTTTTCGCGCTTAGATATTTACGAAACTCCCTCGTATTGTACGACTAGTTTAAGAGAAGATTTTCGTGCTCTTCCTCAGTCGAGTAAGGTTGCGCCTGAGGTAAAGAGGAAATCCTAAGAATGGCTCAAAATGGACTCTTGAAGCTTCATGGAGAAAGGTGTTACATCAATCACTGCATCAAAACGGTCCACAAAATATTGTCGGTAAACGTTCTGTCCGAACACCACCTAGAAGGGGACAGAGGGCAATAAAAAGATTTTTGTCTTTATCTTTTGATAAAAAGTACATCACCCTCGTTATTGACTACGAGAAAGTCGAGTCCTCGAAGCCTGAAAGACCATCACCATAGTCCTCTTTGGTCATATGATGATAATAACGATGACGGATCTATCTATCGCAAGAGCGAACTTCGTACCTTTTTGGGGGTATAGAAGTTTCATAGTGGAAGGTAACCCCCAACTTTGTGATTTCGCCTATGTGCGATCCTTCCGTCTTTGAAGGCCAAAGAGCTGGGCTGCATCTTGAACAACAAGTTTTGTTCATAACTACCGAACACCAACCACGGAGGTTAAGTGAAGAAGAGATAGAGATATGGAGCATTCAAGTTAGTCTACTTTGGACAAATTATCTCTTATGTGGTGTGACTATCAAGTGTAAAACATGCGGATCGATCTATCGGCCTTTGTAAAACAGCAAAGAAAAGAAACGAAGTTATTTTGATGTGAGTGAAAGAATTTCAGTACTCGACAATAGTTTTCACTGAATGACAATGAAAATCAACAATGAAGGCTGCACATTGGCAAGTTCAAATCATGCTTTGACTGGATAGGGTTCTGAGCCAAGCCGTAGTATTAGTTCAAAGATATCAGTTCACTTGTTGTATAAGCGCATTTCCGGTATCGAAAGTGTAGACAATCTCACTATGAAGTGAGTGCAGTATTTTTTTCCGGGAGGGCTCTTGTCAGATGACTCAAATCACCGCTGTCGAAAGTACTTGGGACCGGCAAAACTTTCGTAACACCGTCTTGAGTGTTCGGAGCAGAAGTGTACCTATACTTCTTCAGTGGTAGCAAGAAAGAATTCTTCTCGGATTACCATCTGACGAGTCCCCCAATTTTGAGTAGGAGTCGCAGATAATCGATATAAAGCGAAAAATGCTTTGCAAGCGTTAGGGCACGTTTCATGATAAAGCAAAGTGAGCACATGCATCACGGATACGAATCTCCATGTCAGCCACGGGTACACCTCCATATCAACTTACACTAGCGTTACCATACCACTACCTTTACACAGATCCCGCGCTGCTCCGTTCGCTTATAGTTTCAAAACAGTGTTATAACACAGGGAGGAATCTGTTCCGCAACATGGCTCCCAGAATCGTTTCACAGACCTGGAGCGCAGGTTTGAGATCGGTAGAAACACGTCGGTATTCATATCATTTTGTACGGTCACTGCGACCAATTATCTACCCGTGTAAGACAATTCTGCAGACCTTGACTGCAAGGATACCTATCAGGCCGTTTCTCAATCTGACTCGATTGGAATGGAACTCATCATTCTAAGATGAACTTTCAACTGGATCTATATATCGTTCGAGAACTGCAGGGATTTTTTCGGAGATGGAGCAATAACTTATGTTTAGTACAACTTATGGTCGCGAAACTTGACACCTGCTTATCTTTGCTGTGTTTGCTCAGCTTTGTTCATTTTTGGGCAGTAAATGACCTGTTATGCCAGTTCGCTTAGTCGCTTTTAGCAAAACGGCCATATTCAATCAATGTTTTTTGTTTAGTTATAGCGATTTTGCGAGTAGTTTTATCGTAATACTCTTAAAGGCGATAAAACAGTTGCTGCTCATGGTAGATCTGGTAAACATTATGAAAGTAACGGTTTTCAGTTATCTCGTGGAATCCATGGTACAAACGAACACGCCAACTAAGGCTATTATGCGTGCCACTTACGAAGTCTCCCCGACAGGAAAATCACTGCATTGTCAGTGCTTGGCTGTTTGCAAAAATTTGACACAGTCCGTCATGATCAGACCTCATGGCCTTCCAAGCCATACCTGACATCCGCCATGGTATCATATTCTAAGTGCTATTCAGTAATTGCACAAACGACCGAGTATTCCACAGAACCAAGGCGGATTAACAAACGGCCTAGAGCTCTTTAAGTCCCTTCATTGGAACCTGCTATATGTGAGCATAGTCAAACATGGTATGGCCAAGATGCTAGTGAATACGTGGCGGGTAAACTGCCAATGGCTGACCTCCGCGGCAAGGCAGGGATCGTTAGTCTCTGAGCTACAGTTGCATTGTGTGGCTTTCAAACGGAAATTTACTTAATGAGCTCGGGTTGAAGGCACAGTGCACGATAGAAATGACTTCTGACAAGGAAAGAATACTAGGTCGCAGTGGCCATTCAAGATGAGATGTATACCGACGTGAGCGGTTTCAAACACTGATCTTAACTCTGGGTTCTTTACGGTTCTGGGAAGAAAGTCACGGGCTCAGCTCCGCAGGTGTCATGCCACTTTGTTGCTTTCATATGGAAACCAAGCAGATGTTAAACGAGCAGTGTTGGCGCAGTTGGAAGGACGGCGGACTGGTAGGCGTGACACGGAGGTTCGAATCTTCGATTCCTATGATTGTTTTGCTTTTTTATAAAATGTTTAAGCGCTTGCAAAACCCTTTCATGCATCATATAGACTATCTACAGCCCCCATATTTATAGTGCACCAAATACAGACGCTTATACAGATACAGATGCTAATACAAGTAAACTTTTTCGTCGTTTCTACAGACCGAATAAGGTGTACATACATAGAACCCTTCTGCTCTCACTCACTCACTCAAGATGTGGTCACGAACTTCAACATCTCCATGCCCTCTCAAAAGCGGCCGGTCGGATGACTTGCCAGGCTATAGCGCTTTGGAATAAACTATCCGAACAATAAGTGAGCATTTCATGAACAGGTACGATATTCCGACACGAAGTGTCTGAAGCAGAGGCGCTTCTCACAATGTGAACAACTTATGAAAAATAGTTCACCGCCCCATCACTCTCGCAGTTCCCCTCTAGATGATATGAGAAACAGTATTGTACAGGAGCTCCAAACTCGTTCTAGTCCATATCTAGGCTCCCAGTTGCAAACCATGAATGAGAAAGAAACTTCCTGGATCCCGATGCTCTAAGCAAGAAGTATATTAGTGATGAGGCGAATTATGGAGTTGCGGTTACTAATGTGGAGGTCCACATCATGAACAATTACGAAAGAGACAGCACACTTATTCATGGTCTTGAATGGTAAGAAAGAAATATACATTGATGGGCTGAATTTGAAAGGTTGCACCAGGTGGGATGTTGAGCACTTTCACCTCCTCGCCAATTGGAAAAGCACCTCGCACTCCTTCATGGTCTTTGAATGAGCTCCATGAGTCGACGGACCAGTAACGTTAAAGGCAAATCTGTTGACCCAACGCACGATCTAATCCAATCTAGCATACGTTTCTGTCGGAATTCGTAACCACATCTTAAGTGTCCGGGTTAGAAGGGTGTAGGTGCGCTACTTTTCTGTTTGTGAAGGCAATGAAAAAATTCTTTTGTATTGGCATATATGGTGCTCCATCCTACTTACTATAAAGCGCTTCGTCTGTCTGTCTGTCTGTCTGTCTGTCCGTCCGTCCGTCTGTCTGTCGTATGTCTGTCACGAAATTCCTTAACTCCTTTAGATCTGCCTGGAGAGACCGGGTCAAGCGTAGGATGGGTGGGCCACATCTCGAGAAGTATAAAACACACATCAGCTTGGCGGAGCCCCGCCCACAGTGGGCGTGGCGTGCATCGAAATGAGCCCTACTGAGGACCATGATTTCAAATTCAGTAACAAGACGGCTTCAAAACTGGTGTTTAAAGGTGGCTTGAGGTGTGCATTGGTAAGTTAGATCGA